CTATTGAATCAATCACATAAGCAGAATAACCTCCCCAAATTCAGAATTACAAAAAAAAATAAAAAATAGAGGAATAAGAAGATTAAAGAACTTTCTCTCTTTAGAATATCAATTTTAAGCATAATGCATGTATTTGGGTGATTCTGACTCTAATGCATGTTATAATACACTCTCATATGTTTTTGAACCCTAAAGCATGATTTTATAGCAACCCAAGTCGGTTTTGAAAAGATATAAAAAGATTTAATTCGAATTTAAAAAAATTACGTGATTCCCGACAAATATTCGGATATATGAGTCTCCATATCCGGATATTCTGGGTTTGGATATCCGCATATACCATATCCGGATCTACAAATTCCATATCCGGATATTTGATGACAGCAACCCAAAATGTATCCGAATTTGATCCAAATCATTTCTAATCAATTCTTTCTCACTTCTCACACATGAATGCATACTTCTAGCATTAATATTACTGTGTTCCACGTGTTTGAGACTTGTATGCATGAGTTTATGTTCCTAAATGCAAACTAGAGAGATATAGCTCAATAAACTCAATTTTATACAACCTAGGACTCTAAAAGTACATGACACTTAATCAAAATACAAGTCTTTAATTATCTTCAAGTGTCTTCATCCTTTGAGTCTTCTAGGTCCTTTCTTCACTTGAATCCTTGACTTTGGTGTTGACTTTGCACATTTGAATTATTTTTTCACTTTTGCATGTTGCCTTGGTCTTCTAGTACTATTTGGGACTTGTTGCACTACCATCTAACTTGTGCATTAATGTTGAGCTTGTTGGTGCTTTGTAATTAAAACTTCAAATGTATAATCTTGAAAACCTATGGTTCATCAATCTCCCCCTTTTGACGATGACAAACACTTCACACACTTAATTAAGAAATGGGGTTAGTAGCAAATGAAATCAGAATTAATTAAGCTCCCCCTAACTATATGCTCCCCTTAGTAAAGTACTTGGTAAAAGTTAACAATCCCCATAAAAGTCTACTTTCTCCCCTTTTGATGAACAATAAATGAAACAAAAATTTCTCAATATCTCAATAATTTATCCCCTTTTGGCAACATCAAAAAGTACAAAGATATTAATATACCAATATGGATACAAAAGTCAACCTATGGTCAAATTAGATTCATGTATTGCAAAATGTTGAATATAATGCATCAAGTAATCATAAATATAGTTCATATAACATTAAAGAAATAGTGTACAGTATCAAAACATAATTAATGTCAAGTGAACTAGTATCTATGGAGTATTAAGTCTTAAGATTAATGAGACACCAAGTCTCGTTTTGATCCTCCTTCAAACTTCGTCTTGATCTCGCAGCCTCCCTTCGGATTCCCTGGTCTTCTTGCTTTCTCCAATTGTGTCTAGTAATAATCCTCTTGTTTTCCTAAAAGCTACCCTTTAATAATGAAGGAAAGTTTCCTTTTAAATCTCCAGTTAGACCTTCACGAAAGTTTCTTTAAATTCTCCAATAAATCTTCAATCACGATCTGATTCAAAATTCAAATAAATTCGAAATCATCAAGGATAACATTTTAAGCGCGAGGAAGAAAGAACTTGGCGCAGCTAGTGCCATGATATACTTGGCGCTACAAGCGCCACTTGAATAACATTTTGGCACTGCAAACCCCATTTGAAGAAATACTTTGGTTCTATAAGCACCCTCAACCACAAAGACTTGGCGCTTTAAGCGCCACCACGTGTGAGGGATTGGCGTCAAAGGCGAGAGCATGCAATCTTGATTTGGCGCTTAAAACGCCACCATATGTGTAGGGCACGGGAGGTTGGGAAGTTTTGCGTACTCTTCAACTTATCTTCTTCAGCTCTCCAACTTATCTTTTCCATTGAGCTAAAATTCCTGCTAAATATGAAAATTTCTTATGAGAATATTACATAGACTTAAATAACACTTTAGTTACAATTCTCATGTCTTTTGGTGATTATCTCAATTTAATGCTCAATTTAATTCTTAATACATAGTAAGTTGGAGGCTCATCACTCTATCCTGTCATTATGCACACATATCATCCCCTGTCGTGTATACTGATCCACCATTACCTACTGTCCATAGACACCGCAAATCCTCAAATTCTTCATCAACTTCTAATTCTCTAAGATCAAATACTAATGTTTCTAAAATATTTATACATGTTAGGCCTGCAACCTTGCACTAATCAATTGTTTACCCTTTATTATTTGCAGGTCATGAATTCCAAGTTCAAGTTGTGATATTTTCAAAATAAGTTATTAAATTATTATTATATAAAATCTTTCAAATAGAAATATTAAATTCATAAATCGATATTAAAATAAAAAGAAAGGTGTTTAGAGGAATTGTATTCGTTTTCACTTCTTTCAGAGTTAGATAATGATCAGACCAAATACAATATGGGCTGGGCAATATGTATTATACCTAATCACACATGGTTGAAATGCCGAGGATGCTTTGCTTCTTCGGCTGGAGGTTTGTTGATTATGATATATGGACTCTGGTCCTTTGTTAGCGTGATCGTTGAGACTGGACCGGGGGGGGGGATACCTGCAATGACACTCTGATGCTTAAGTCAGTATCAGTTGCAGGTGTATGTGTATTCTTATTGAATTAGATGATTATACCTGGGCATCTACACTCTGCTTATATAATAGTTATGTTGCCTCCTTCAAAAGGCGGTATGGCCTTTGATTGGCCGTTTCTGGGCTGCAGGCTTGGCTAAAGCCTTAATAGCCTTATCTCTTAATGCTAGGCTACTTCGATAGAGCAGCGACGAGCTAATGCTGTCCTTTGTTTATTAGTACAAAGGCACGGTGGGTTCGTACTAGTTCTTGAGATAGTTTCCTTACTTCTGAAATTTATGCAATTAGGCGGTGTCATGCGCGATGGGTGCATCGCGTCGCGTTATACGCGATGGTGGACATCGCGCCTAATTCTGGGCCCTCGTGGGATTGGTCTAAGTTGTATGTCTTTGAGCCTCCAATGGACCTACTATATTTTATCTAGATCAGTTGCCCCCTAGCTCGCAGTTTTGTTATGTGGCAAAGCTGTGAGGTATATATACATGTATTTGTGCGCAATAGAAAATTAACGGTCATTAAGTTGGTTGTAAGAGTGGTAAGCTTTTTTGGAGGTAAGTAGATCTGTTTTCATCTTTACTAATAAAACTAATCTAATTGTATTAACTTATATATATATATATATATATATATATATATATATATATATATATATATATAAGGGATAGGATCCTTTGACATCAGTGTCAAACTTTGAAATTTGACACCAAATCTTAACCGTTGATTTCCACCAATCAACGGTTATCATTTCTTGGGAATCAAACTCATTAATTAATTATTAATTTCCAATAAATGATAACCGTTGATTGATGAAATTAAATCAACGGTTATGATTTGGTGTCAAATTTTAAAATTTGACACCGGTGTCAAAGGATCCTGCTCCCCCCTCTCTCTCTCTCTCTATATATAACTTCTTGAAAAAGCCTTTAATTTTTTTATAATTTAAACTAAACCGAATACATGCTTCTTATACATAGATAATCTGTTATTCAACGAATTTAAGATGAAAAACATATGATTTAATGAACTTTCATACTTTACTTTTTTCAAATAAATTATGCTATATGCTTTAAATGATATTAATGAAATTGATGTTGCGCTATTTTATTAAAAATTCTTACCATTCATATTCACGACTATTATAGTAAACAATAGTTTTTCCATTTAGGTAAGGGTTTTGACTAATGTTTTGGATATATAGGTTCATCACCTTCCCAGAATCCCTCTATGAATAATCCTTTATGGTTATTCCCCTAAATCGGTTAAATATCTTTTGTTAGATATAATATTGGGGTAATAGATTACTCTCGTGATTCTATTATAATTGTAGGTCACCACTCTCCACTTTCGGGTACATATATAGTTTAGTAACTTATTATATACACTCCACTGGGTTTTTAGTGACTTGACGGTATCACCTCCCTTATGTAAGTGAGACACCACCAGTCCACCACCAACCACAATACAATACGAAAAAACCGTTATAATATACTGTTGCCACACATACTATAAAAAGACCTTTATAATTTCCAGGGAAATAATAATTCAGTGGAGCATATATAATATGGAAAAGTGTTTTTCATATTATCTCTCGCAACTTATAATATAATGCCATTTTAAGGTTTGAAAAAAATATAGGGTATTTTGTGAATTTTATTTCTTTCTTGTAATGTGAATTTTTAATTTTTTTTTCAAATTAAAAAATATATCATTTTGAATTGTAGATAGTATCTTTATTTCCTTATTAGAGGAAAAACATTAAACCCAGATAATACCCAAAAATATAGCGGAGTTTTGATTACAAAATTTAGTTCTGCAAGTTGTACCAAAATCATAAAAAAAAAAATACTATTCTTAGTATACATTATTACTCTTATATTATAGAAATAAATCAATGCGCTGACTGGTTGGCTAATTTATCTTTTGATCGCCAGCAAAATGACTCTCTCAGTTTTATCCATTCACCTGCTCTTGATCTTTACAGATAGTTTTAGCTGATATGGCTGCTGTGGACTACTTTCCAAGCCGTGTTTCTTGATTTGTTTCAGTTTTTCTTTTCTTTTGGTTTGAGTGTTTTCACCCTTATCCTCACCCAAAAAAAATAAATAGAAAAAAACCAAGTAAAGCCCATCATTAAAGAGAAAAAAAGAGAGTAAAATTTTCGAAGTGAGATAAATAAAATAACTATTGTAGCAATATTTTTCATCGTAAAAATACATGCAATTGCTGCTCCTTGGTTGTGAAGGACGCAAATAAGGTGCGAGCGAGAGAGCCAGCAATAGCATGTCCCATCCTATCTCAATTCTCAAGTACGTGATGGGAAAAAGAAAAAGAAAAAGAAAAAGAAAAAGAAAAGGAAATAAAAGAATAAAAGATAATAAATATAAAAGCAGGGAAGAGTATAGAATGTTAGAAGTTGAAGAAGAAAAAGAGTAGTAAGCATATAATTAAAAAAACTAAAAAGAAAGTCATCCTTTGGTCTCCGGCTTCCTTCGTACGGGAGAGTTCTCCTTCTCCATTTCAATTTTATTTTTCCTCAATTCGATCTCTCCACTCTTCACCTGACCACCTGCTACTTTATCATCGGAACTCTCTTAATATAATAGCCATTCTGGTACGTCTCGCCATCTCGCCATCTCTTATTAACTTTTTTTTTTTTTTTTTTTTTTCTGCAATTGCCAGATTTTAGGGTTCTTTCTGATTTTTGCATCTTTTCATATATATATTTTTTCTTTTGCGAAATCACTCTGTTTTTCATGAGTGCACGGTTGAGATTTGTCTAACAAGTTTGTTTAAGGGCTCAACTATTTCTGCACATCATGTTTATCTCGTTGCTGCTTCACTCTTTCACTTATTCTCAGTAAAATTTTCAAGCTTTTGATTTGGATATAAGGTTAAGGACTGTGTAGCTAGTGAACCTTATGTTCTCCAACTGATTTATTTATTTATTTATTTTTAATATAAGTTCCACAAAAGTCGTATTATGCATTGATTTGCCCAAGGGAATACTCCTAAATCTCGTCTTTGAGGGCTTTATTCTTTTAATTTTTATCGTTGTTGAGGGTTATATGCTGGTTTTACTGCTACACCCTATATTTTCCCCCTGCTTGCGTTATATGCATTTGATTCCCAGTGAAAACATGATATTGAATAGTGGTTTTTTCCCCAATTAATTTTGATTTGTGAAAACCATCTCTTGATTTTAGATGTAGTCTGTGAATTTTATTTTTGATTTTAACTAGATCAATCAACTCTTGTGTTTCTTCTGTCATAGATCCACAAAATGTGCTTGGGAGCTCTGAGGGTTTACTCTCTCTCTCTCTCTCTCTCTCTCTCTCTCTCTTTTCGTGTTTGTGTGTATGTGTGCAATTGTACATTGCTTATCGGTAAAAGCAAAAGTGGAGTTACCTTTGTTATTGCAGTTGAAGTTTATAAATTCAAAAGCTAAAAGCTTCTACTGGTATATTTTGGTTCCAGGGTGTTTTTTTCTTCAGGTTGTTTAATTTACAATTTCTGATGCTGAAGAAATAACCAAAACTTGAAGCTTTGCTTTTTAGTGCAAAAGATGTTGGAAGGTGTTGTGAAATTCCCTGGAATCATAGACCTCAACAAACATAATGATAGCTATTATGATTTCTCTCAAGGCTTTTACCATAAGCTTGAGGATGGCACCAATATGTCAATTGACAGCATTGGGAGCTTACAAACAAGTAACGGTGGAGGATCTGTTGCAATGTCTATTGACAATAGCAGTGTTGGGTCCAGTGATTCCCATACTCGCATACTGAACCACCAAGGGTTGCGGAGGCATACCAATGATAATTACTCCATTGCACAGAGTGTCAATCATCGAGGAAAAGTCACGCATGCTTTGAGTGATGATGCTTTGGCTCAAGCTCTGATGGACAGTAGTTCCCCAACTGAGGGGCTTGAAAATTTTGATGAGTGGACAATTGATTTGAGGAATCTTATAATGGGTGAGGCTTTTGCTCAAGGAGCTTTTGGGAAACTCTACAGAGGTACTTACAATAGCGAAGATGTTGCCATCAAAATCTTGGAGAGGCCTGAAAATGATCCAGCAAAGGCTCAGTTTATGGAACAACAATTTCAGCAGGAGGTCATGATGCTAGCTACACTAAAGCATCCTAACATAGTTCGTTTTATTGGTGCATGCCGTAAGCCAATGGTATGGTGCATTGTTACAGAATATGCCAAAGGGGGTTCAGTTCGACAGTTTTTAATGAAGCGTCAAAATCGATCAGTGCCCCTCAAATTGGCTGTTAAACAAGCTTTGGATGTTGCAAGAGGGATGGCATATGTTCATGGCCTTGGGTTTATCCATAGGGACTTGAAATCTGATAATCTTTTGATTTTTGGCGACAAATCAATTAAAATTGCTGACTTTGGAGTTGCCCGGATTGAGGTGCAAACTGAAGGAATGACACCTGAGACTGGAACGTACCGTTGGATGGCTCCGTAAGATTCTTTTGTTTCCATTTTTTTATATTAATTTTAATGTGCTTTCTGGTTTTATGTTTCGGAAATTCGTCTTATCAGAAATTAGATATCTCAATGAAGGAAAGATTAATAAAATTTAAATGATGCTAACAGACAGTTAATCATATATATATATATATATATATATATTGATTTGGGATTCTCTGAATCAATATCATGTTTTCTTTATTTATGATCCTTGTTGCAGAAATGGCATATACTTTTGAAATAGGAATGTATTACTTCCTGATTAATTGTATCTTTTTAATGTTACAATTTTTGTTTGCAGTTCTGGTCTTATACATTGCCACCAGTCAATACTTTCCTCTCTTTTTTCTTTTTTCAAATTTTCAGTTTTAGCTAAATATTTGTTGTTAGAAAGGTTATTGATTGTGCGCAATTGCGGCATCTTCCCGTGACTATAGCGGATATCGGACGGGGGCCACTACTGGCCATGTATTGCACCACAACAGTGAAACGACCTGATTTTCCAAGTTTGCCCTCGTTTTAAATTTCCAACAGCCATATTTTATGGTCTTTATGGTCTTTTAACAGGGTTTTATTCTGAATCTCAACCCACTCTCTCTCTCTCCCTCTTGTCTGTCTCTTGTCGCTGCGTACTATCTCCTCTCTGTCATCTCTCTCGTTTCCACACTGCTCCATTATTATGTACCCATTCTGCTTTGTTAATTATTAACAGGTATCTTCACATGTTAACAGCCTATTATCCTCACATACTGCTTTGTTTAACCGCCTATGTTAACAGCTTATTACTCATCACATCACTACCATGCTGCCTTGTCTCTCGTCTCTATTTACTTTTCTGTTCATAATCATATTTTGTTGAAGAATTGACTTGATTTTTAGTATTGATATTTAGGACCTCGGGATAAAGGGAATGGTAATTTGTTATGGACTGGCTAAGGGATCTTTTGATTAGTTCCTTTTGAAAATTTGAATATGGAATATTATAATTGATAATATTTAGATCCTTTCAATGGACAGTATTTAGAATCCCTGTTTGTTGTGGAATGATAATGATAATATATTTAATTATGAATTTCTTTATTTTTTATTCCGCTATCTGCTTTTGCACTATAGTGTTTTCAGTGTCAGCTGTGACCCACCACAATCCGCATTTGATAACTATTATCATAATTTTTTCTTTTAATCACGTTCTTACATTTCGTTCTGATCTTTGTCGTTTGTGCATCTAGAAGTGAAGGAAAATCTGTCTCTTTTATTATGATTCAAAGGTTAGGACTGAGGAATGACTACAATGCATCAGACTAATATCATATAAAAAATAAATGAGTCGTCTAGTATTCAGAATACAACTTTGGCTTCATCTTTTAATAAAGAAGCAAGTTCTGATGATAAGCTCCTAAAAGTTGCCATCAATGAAGTTTCTGTGGGCATGATAGTTTAAAAATGTTGATCTTGTTCTTTGATTCTACTTATTTTATATATATATGTATTCTTTTTGGACTATTTTATTTCTCTTTTGACTTGGATACATTCTGGCTGAGGGTTGATGAGCTCTATTTAATGATGATGCCATCAATATTTTCCTCATCTATTCTGTTGTTTTTGTGTCCCAATCCTACCCCTTTTTCATTGATTGGAAATTGACATATATATTTGGCTTCCATACTGCATAAACAGTGAGTCTCAGCTTTGAACAATTGACTGATATTAACATGAGAGTATTATTTCAGTGAGAAAAATGTACTTTTTTTTTCTTCACGTTTTCAATGATTTGATGCATTTTGTAGATGGGTTACACAATGTTCGCTAGTAGCTAACTTCTATCATAATTCTTGATGGTGAAGGTTGTAAAAGGCACCTCCCTGCTTATGGGATCATTGAGCTAGCTTTGGCTATTTGCAGCTGACAATAAGCTCTTGGTTTCCTAAAGCAATGCTTAAAATCTATTGTTAATTCATCATCACCATCCAATATCCAGATGCATGTGTTTCAATAAAAAATATTCTGATGCATGTCAACCCGAAGTTAGATATGTCAAAATGGGCATTTGAATGAAATAAGTCACAAGCACTTTGGCTTTATAAGTGACATATGCTTGGGTAATGAAGCTACCATTTTAAATTTTCTCCACAATCCATTCTGTTGATTCTCCACAAGCACTTTGGCTTTCTATTGACTAATCTTTGACCTGAGAAGAATAAACATATAAAAAAGGATGGCCTTGATCCTTACTTGCTGGTGTCTTATCCAATTGTTGGGGAATAACTAACTTTTGAATTTTGAAATTCAATTGTTCCCTTGTCCAAGCTGTCATGCTGTAGTCATTGCTATATCATTACTTCGTTAGCTTCTCTGCTACAGCATTCTGACGTCAATTTTTCCTGCAAAGTCAAACACTCAACAAGTCATCTTTTCTTATACAAAATCAAGGAATATTGTCTCATTTTCCATACTTAGTCATCTCAAAGCACTTAATCATAAATATACAACATTTAGCTTAATTATCATGCAAACAAGACAACTTATATGGAATTTATGCAGCAAAATTAATCAATAAAATACCAAATTAACTCTCATTTGGGAGAGTTAACAAATAACTACTTGAAAATTAATAAAAGTCTACACTAAGACATCCGTTATAACATTACAGCATGAGTACTCTATCACCCAACCTAAAAGCTATGTAGCTCATAATGGAAATAAAGAAAGAGAAAACATTAAGACAATTTCTAAGACTAAGCAATGCTATAGCATAACGCTGATCTCTAACTTCACTTCTGGGGAACTCTCCCTCTCTCTATAAACGTGATGTGGTACTACCTTCAGCTTCCCAACATATCTGAATTCGTAGGGTAGTCCTCCTCAAATAAGAAAAATGGTGCATTACTTGGGCCTCAAGTTTGGGAGTGAAAGCCCATGAATTATGCTATTGCAGCCTTATCTTATCCTTATTGTCTTGGGCTGTTGACACTTGATTGGATAAGGTCTTATTCTTTTAAGTTAATCTAAAAATATTGTTGCTTAGAGGATAAGAGCTTATCGTCCTTGATTGTTGGGATTTGAAATGCAGTTTGATATTAAAAAATGTCCTTATCCCTTGCTTGTTGTTACATTATCCTTTGTTGGGAACTTTAACTAACTTTTGAAATTTGAATTTAAATTGTTCCCTCGTCCTTGCTGTACTGCCGTCCCGATTGCTATATCATTGTTTTCCTCGTTAGCTTTTCTGCTACAGCACTCGAGCATCAATTTTTTCTGCAAAAACAAAGCACTCAACAATTCATCTATTCTTCTTACACAAAATCAAGTATATTTGTCTCATTTTCCATACTTAGTCATCTCAAAGGATTTAATCATGAATATGCAATAATTAGCTCAAATATCATGCAAATAAGACAACTTATATGGAATTTATGTCGCTAATTCATCATTAGAATACCAAATTAATTCTCATTTGGGAGAGTTAACACTTATCATTAGTCACCTAACAATATTTTTTGCAAACTTGTATGCTACAGGTTGTCTATTGCAACACGCCAATTTGCACCTACACGTAAAAACATCGTTACCCCGATAACCAAGCTAGCCATCAAGGCTCAGACCGGTCTGAGGGATACTTATGACCCAGTCATGATCCCAAAAATGTAACACAACCTCACAAGTCGATTTAAGGCAATCTGATAAGCACATCTTCACCTAAGAAAAGCTTACCTAATATGCTTAATAACTAGAGCAACCAAACACACGATCCCGACAAAAGTTACCTACCACAGTCCCAACAAGAACGACCTATCACGTTGGTCCCAGTTCCCATAGAAGTACTAAAGCATCCTAGTGTAATCCTAGTAAGCCCTCACACCTGACTAGAGAGATACACAAGACAGACTTTTGCCAAAAACTTGGAAGAACTGAAGCATCCAAGTGTAATCCCAACAAGCTCTAATGCCTGACTAGCGAGATACATTGCACAAACTTTAGCCAAAAACTTGGAAGAACCGAAGCATCCGAATGTGATCCATGCAGGCTTTCACGTTAGACTAGAAAGATACATCCAAATTGTGAAAACTTGAAGCATCCAAAGATGATACCAAGGGCCACCATACCTAATCAAGGCACATCAAGCTTACTTAGGCCAACAAAAGAAGACCTCCACATGGTCATATTTTCCACGTTAAAGGGGCTTACAAAACTGACAAAACTCGCCATGATTTGGATTTACATCCCAAGGACCTCGAGAAACGCAACATGACATAATAGCCAATCACCTCAAAATCAAGATTGGCCTTGATCCTTACTTGTTGGTGTCTTATCCAATTGTTGGGGAATAACTAACTTTTGAATTTTGGAAATTCAATTGTTCCCTTGTCCACGCTGTCATGCTGTAGTCATTGCTATATCATTACTTCGTTAGCTTCTCTGCTACAGCATTCTGACGTCAATTTTTCCTGCAAAGTCAAACACTCAACAAGTCATCTTTTCTTATACAAAATCAAGGAATATTGTCTCATTTTCCATACTTAGTCATCTCAAAGCAGAGAAGAATAAACATATAAAAAAGGATGGCCTTGATCCTCACTTCCTGGTGTCTTATCCAATTGTTGGGGAATAACTAACTTTTGACTAATCTTTGACCTGAGAAGAATAAACATATAAAAAAGGGCTTAGGTTAGATAAATTTTCACCTGCAAAAATAGAACTGGCCAATTGGACTTGGGAGATGAACATGGGTTTTTTCTGTATAAGGTTTTTGACAAACCAACTTAAAAAAGATCATGCCTTATTTGGGATCTTAAGCCATTATTTTTTTGGTAGAAGTATTTTATTCCTTTGATAACAGAAACCTGTCAGATTTAATATCAGTAATATTTAGCAACCTCCATAGATCATGCCTTGAGTCAAAGCTCCGTAGTTTACCGCCTTCAGAATTATAAAGTGTGAAAACTGTGTTTTATTATGAGCATATTCTATTGCATGTCTGCAGTAGATACTATCTTGTTTTGATGGATAGCAGTCATTGCATGATGATGTCCCTCAAATCTTTGGGTTATGTCACTATTTTCAAGATATTCAAAATTGCATGTTAGATCATAAGATATTACGCATCCATGATTTTTTGCTTCCAGCTGAGCTCTTGATCACACCCAAAAGCACAATTTGGTGAGATTCTTTGGGATAGCAGTGATTGATTGTGGGATTGGATGATCCCATTGTGCTGGCCTAGTTGCCCATTTGTGAAAAAATAAAGCCTGAGCCCACTCGAAATCTTAAGAGCCCAAGCGCTACAAACTCTTTTTTCATATTCATTTGACCCTTCCCTACTACCTTTTTCAATCTGTGGCTGCTACTGGTTGTGGCTTGTGGGAGACGGTTGAAAGGTTTGGTGGTGGGTGGGTCAGGTTAAGAGAGAATGTGGGTGGTGGTTTGGCCTCATCCCAGCTTCGATCTGTTTATGCTTCTGGTTGGGGTGTTGCTTGGCTGCTTGCTTGTTTGTTATTTGCTCGTGTACTCTGTTTTGTTCTCTGGCTCAATGGTTTTCAGGCTCTGTTTTGTGTCTCAGATTATGCCATGGTAATATCAAGATATTTACTAGTTGGGCATGGTTGTCAAAAATTTATGTATTTTGTATTCAGTTGTAGCTTTAACTTGAGTTGTGACCTTATGCATTTGTAATTAATTTTTAATTAAACATTAGATGTAATAATAAGGTTATTTTTCTTATTTATATCATTTTAAATGTATATGTTTCTCTGTGCATATAATTTTATAATTTAAGTAGGATCTTATTATCCTTGTTACAATCCCACGTTTTAAATGTTTAACTCTCCTTCTCTATCCTAGGTAAGATCTCAATCTTGACTTCCTTGACTATTGTTGTACATTTAATTTGTCTATTCTCGAATGATGTTCTGGGAGAGAGTTAGTGGGCATTGTATTAGAATAGAGACTAAGGCTTTTGTAAATCATTTTGGGTTTATGCTTGGAAGATTTACTATGAAGGCTATCTTCTTGATATGATAGAGATATCGAAATGAAGAAGGACCTAAATATGGTGATTAATGATCTTGAGGAAGTGTATGATAGGGTTCCAAAAAAAGTTATGTGGTGGGTTTTTTAGAAGAAAAAAGACATACAAAGTATGCAGACAATCAAGAATATGTATGACGGTGTTACTACATTTGTGAAGTGTTGAATGACACATCAAGTTATTTTCCAATCACTGTAAGTGTACACTAAGGTTTTGCATTGTGTTCTTATCTTATTGCCCTAGATAGGGATGACCTAACAAAAGATATTGAAGCGAGATGCCATGGTATATGTTATTTGCAAATGATACTGTGCTTATTGATGAGAGCAAGGCTAGGGTTAATACTTAACTGGAATTATAGAGACTAACACTAAACAGACTTTGAGCCGGCTTCCAAAAAGTATGACATGTTTTAAAAGTTTTGAAATTTACCAAAATATGGTTGGTTCAATTGATTGCCTTAACCACAGCGCAGCTTATAATCAAATTTCTCCCAGTAACTTCGATTCTCCTTAGGGTTTATATTGGCAGATTTTTCCAAATGACCTGAAAGACCTTGGCCAAAATACCAAAGCACGACCCATGCTGACCAGGCTAGATAATTTTTTCCAGTCAACCTTTTCAAGGTAATAGAAGGATTTTCACAAAACACCTTGGAAATAGGATCATGACTAGATGAATTTGTGACAGAAATGACTTCTTGGACCTGATGGGTCAAAGCAGAGCCATTGGAAGCAATCTCAACAGACATACAAGGGGTATGAACTGAATTCGAAAACAGAGCATGGCCAAAAGGCTTAAAAAAGTATGAAATCTGGACAGGTTTGGGAAAATAATTACTCAGAAAATGAGGAAATGCCAATGGTTTGAATGGGACTGGTCTCAGGGTGAGCAACACTGGATAAGTGGCACATGAGCTTCACGTGCTGTTGAGGGAAGATGCATGTAATAGTATGTGGGGTGTTTTTCGACAACCAAAACTTGTGGGTAGGTTGGTTGATGGTCTCTAACTAGTCCGCTGATCTCCCTTGCTGAACATCTTTGATGACACGGCTAGGTCTTCTCTGTTGATGGTTCAAAACGAGAAACTTGGGGATTTCTGAGAAGTTTGGCAGTGACAACGTAAGAGAACTTTTGAGGGATTTAGGATATGCTGGAACAGAAGGCAGAACCCAGGAATTATGAGCAGAAGCAAGACCAAGCCTGCCCTGATACTGACCTAAGAATAAAACTCAAACTCCGAGAGATTTCTGTTAATTGCTCGAGTGTTTTCCACTCAAGCATCCTGATGTTCATATACATGGAAAAATAAATACGACTTATATTTGCATGAATATTAAGAAATTGGACTATTTTTAAGATTCTAATGTTCCCAGTGCTTCCAATCTTATCATTTACTTCCTATATTTCTTCGTTCACTTCAATAATATCATTGTATTGAATGAAAGGCATAGCTATCTATCTTTTGTCAAAACTAGCTAGTACTTGGTAACTGTATGGAGATATAACACAATTTAGAACCCATTATTAGAGATATGTGGATACTTACTTTTACTAGTTGTGTAAGATAATTATCTAATCATGTCTGCATAACTGAGTCAGCATGCTTTCATATGTTTCTGCTACCCCCAAGATCCAGTTGATGATTAATCGTTTACCTGTGTGCTTGAAGTGCTAAAATGCATAATTGGTTTCAACTGTTTTATATTTTTAATACAAAAATGTATATTTGAAAGTGATACTTGAATGTGTTTTTCTTATGATCTGCTGTAGGGAGATGATCCAACATAGGCCTTACACACAAAAAGTGGATGTATATAGCTTTGGGATTGTTCTATGGGAACTCATCACTGGAATGCTTCCATTTCAGAACATGACAGCAGTCCAGGCAGCATTTGCAGTTGTGAACAAAAATGTTCGCCCAATCATACCCAATGACTGCTTACCTGTTCTCCGTGAGATCATGACAAGATGCTGGGATCCCAACCCTGATGTTAGGCCACCATTTCCTGAAATTGTAGGAATGCTTGAGAATGCAGAGACTGAGATCATGACAACTGTTCGGAAGGCCCGTTTTAGGTGTTGCATTACACAACCAATGACTGCTGACTGATCCTGGGGGAAACAAATGAAATAGAGTCATAAGAACATAGACTGATAATTTGGAGGGAACATGAGACTCAGGTAGTGAAGGGTTACTCTATAGTAGCTTTGTGTATCTGTGTGTTTAATTTCTTTCTTCAGAAAAAAATAAAAAAAAATAAAAATTGGAGACCTTTTGGTTGTTGGGTTCCTGTTTACTGTTTGTACTAAATTATTAAGAGATTGTGTATGTAAAACATGCATGCATGCAATACAGTTATGTATAGCTTTGGAAACAAAATGGAAGAAAAATTTGCTGTTTAGCGCTTACGCCACAATTAGTTTTCGTCTCTCTTCTAAAACAGGTGCAAAAGGAGCATAGGGATATAATTTAATTATGTTCTTAATGTGTCTGCATCTCAACGGTTTGCTAGTCTCAGCAATATGGTCAAGGACCAAAAATAATCACTACCGTAGGTTTCGATTAAGGGTGATCATAAACCAATACAATCAAATGAAAACTCAAAAAGGAAACCCGAAAATGGAATAAATCGAAATTTTAGGAAATTGGAAATATAAAAGCTGAGTTTTTTTATTTGGATTGTATCAGTTTTTTGTTCTGATTTTGAAAATTGATTCAATATAAAATTAACCGAATTTATATATTCACACTTAAATTATTTTATTTATAAATTTTCTATATTACTCATTTATATATTTAATTTGTTATATATATTTAAATTATTACGTATATGAAAAGTACATTTCAGTACGCATAAATAATTGCAACTTCTTAAACCTTAAATTTTAATGAATGAGATTTTGGTATTGTGTATTTTTTTTTTTAAATTTTCTGAAATTGAAATGGGCTTTACGGGTATCAATTATATTATGATTCTTGGGATAAAATATTTAATACTTTTTATTATGTTAATTATATATTTCATAATATTTCCTATCTCCTAAAAAATAATTGAAAAACCACTTCAATTCAAACTGTTTTACATTAGATTGAATTGATTATGCGTTCAAAATAATTATGTTGTTATTAAATTGAAATTTGACACCGGTGTCAAAGGATCCTACCTCATATATATATACATATATATATATATATATATGTATATATATATTGGCAAAAAATTTGTAATGTGACTGCATAAATATTGGTACAGTCCTCTAAAAGCTACGTCGTTTTGGATGGGATAAAGAAATTTTGCATTCAAAATTAATTGTAGAAAAGGAAAATATTATATTTATTTTCACAATTGTATGGTTTTGATTCTCATATTTAATGATTTATATTTATTTTCATATTTATATAGTTATGATTTCTCATATTTAATGCTTTCACACTATAAATGACGTAATTTTATATGACTGCATCAATCCTTATGTGCAGTCATTGTACATCCGTTAAACCCATATATGTATATATATATGGTAAAATCATTTCTGCAGCCTCTTTACGTATAACAACGACAGATGTATGATTATGATTCTCCACATTTAATGCTTTCATCCTTTGTATGGTTATGATTTCCTGCATTTAATGCTTTCAAGTATATATATGACAAGTATTTGATTGTTGCACGTACAACAGCTGCAGAAATGTAACTATATATATTATATATGTATATATATATGAGATAGGATTTTTTGACACTGGTGTCAAACTTTTTAGTTTAACACTAAATCCTAACTGTTGATTTTCGCCAATAATTAATTATAATTTATTGGGTCAAACTATTAATTAATAATTTACAATAAATTATTACCATTGATTGGCGAAAATCAACGGTTACGATTTGGTATCAAAAGATCCTGATCTTTTAATATATATATATATATATATATATATATATATATAGGGAAAAATGTTTCTGCAGTTAATGCAGATAAGTTATCTGTATTTATTCCCAAAACGACGTCGTTTTGGTATTGAAATCTTAAAAAATTATAAATATAAAGACTATTATAACCCTGAAATAAATTAAAATTACAAAGACACCATGATTTCCGTCCCAAAACGACGTCGTATTGACTTACTGCATATAAGTTATCTGCAGTTACTGCAGAAAAAGCGAACCCATATATATATATACATATATATATATATATATATATATATATAGGGATTAAAGTCTCTGCTGTCACTTCAGAGAAATGTATCTGTTGTGCACTCAAACGAGGATTAAAGTCTCTGCTGTCACTTCAGAGAAATGTATCTGTTGTGCACTCAAACGACGTCGTTTTCGTCTTTTAAATTAAAACGAATTAAATCACTATAATTGGGGCAAGGTTTCGTCTTAACCGTTTTCGTGCTATTACCTGTCTTCGTTCATAAACTATATTCATCCCATCGCTATAAAGTTTGCTTACCACAAGTATACTGAAGAGCGAACCAATTAATGTCATCAGCCCATCACAAGCCCTGAAATTATAACTCAAGGATATTAGAGCCATTAAGTTCATGTTACACATATCACTAGTTTTAATATTTAACGCAGAATTTTGTTATAAAAACAATCTTTTGATGTGGTTTTTATTGAAAATATTTTAAATAATATCAAATAATTAGCATTCAAATTAGGCGAGAATAATAAGAGCTTGTGGCTAAGCTAGGTATCAACTACAAAGAAGTACAGCTGACACAAATTTTACACATTTCTGCATAACATCACTATATATCCTCAAAAAGTACAAGAGCAACTGTGAAATAATAAAAGTGAGAGTTCTATAACAATCCTACGCTGATGTCGCTTTCTGCGTAAGTAGACAAGTCGGATTAAACTTTAATTCAGAGCAGGGCCAACAGAATCGGAAGCGCATGCTCCGGCTGCGACGGTGGCTCCGCCATGAGAGTGGTGGTCGGCGTTGTCGGAGACGGAGGGAGAAGAAGGGTGGTAGTACTTGCGCTCTGTTTGAGGACGGTTAAGACCAAACCTTGCCTTAATTATAGTGATGTAATTCGTTTTAATTAAAAAGACGAAAACGGCGTCGTTTGAGTGCACAACAGATACATTTCTCTAAAGTGACAACAGAGACTTTAACCCCATATATATATATATATATATATATATATATATATATATATATATATATATAAGAGTTGAATTGGATCTGATCGAATTTGATTTTGGGACCAAACAATTGAATAGTAAAAATAAGTAAAATAGGAAAATCATATAATTGAATCAGATATATATATTTTTTTAAATCGATCCAATTCAGTGCACGGAAATCTCTACTTTCAATTCGTGTGGTTTTAAATTTAGGTGGTAAAAAAATCTCTTATATTTATTCTAATTCAGAAGTCCTAATTTTTAAAAAAATAAAAATACCGGTATATCATCAGGGAAAAAGATGTTAATGTAGAGTTATAGGCCGCGTTCCAATTCCCAAGACACGCTATTTATTTTTTTTAAACTATTTTTGAAAATATTCCAATCAGATCATTGCTTCGCAACTAACCCGATTCGGGGCGGGTCCAAGATTAAGACTTTAAACCCCTCCCAAAGATGGTACTGGGGAGATTCGAACACATGCTCTCCCTCCCACCTGCTTAGCTCTTATGCGCCAACTGAGCCACCACCATTTGGTATTTTTTTAAAACTATTGTGGTACTTACCGGTGTGTCTCTTATTTCAATGTGTAAAAAGATGTATTTATCAAGTCCAACAAAGTTTTAAAGCATTGTCAAATTTATCTAGTCAAAGCATCAAGCTCATGCGAAGAATCAAGATCCAAGATTGAATATCAAACTAAGTCCAATTCTTTATTAGAATATACTTTTAGGACTTAGATATAATTGTAAGGTATATGGTAGATTGCATTGCATGACCTCAAAATGATTTTGAAGTTGAATATTTCAAGATTGCATAAAACTTTTAGGGAAAGCCCTTAAATATAAATGAAAGATGTTTTAACAAGTTTTAATCTTACAAACATATTTCCAAGAGCAATTCTTATGTTTCTAAGTGTTAGAAACATGTTTAGATCGAAAAAGAATGAGTTTGACCGAAATTCCTAACCTTCAATAAGGTTGGGGATGGATTCCTGCTTATTCAGAATGAATTTCCACTTGTGGGGAACAAATTCCCTCAAACTACGAATGTTTATAATCGATTGCTCTTGCTCGGGAATCGATTGCCCTTGCACTAGAAACAAAATAACGGTTATAAACGACTAGTTTTGGACAAAATCACTATATATACATTCTTAACCATTCCAAAACATTTTGATTATAATTTTTACACATTTTAGGATAATTTGATAACTTCAAAATTATCATTTACATATTCTTTCAAACCTTTCAAAGAAGGGTAAAAGATTTCTCCAATCAATGGAGATAAATTATCTCTGGAGAGCTCAAAACGACGTCATTTTAGGATGAAAATCAAGGTATTTTTGTAATTCTAATTTATTGCAGTGTTATATTAGTCTTTATAATTATAATTTTTTTAATCTTACAACCCAAAACGACGTCGCTTTGGGCTCATTGGAGATAACTTTATCTCCAGTGACTGGAGAAATACTTTTCCTTTCATAGAATACATATATTTGAGCTCATATCTGAAAAATTCATATATCCATAATACTTCAACTTGTATTATCCACACTTTGAAAGTGTGAGTCCTTGTTCAAACTATTCCTCATTGTAGTTTTGAGTTAAAGGGTAGTGAGACCCTAATAGATTGGAGAGGTAGCCCATTGCCTAGGAAAATTTGGAAAATGTTTCTGTTGGGTTCCATACCTTATCTAGATTTGATAGTAACAAACAAGTGAAGCCAAATTATCTAACAATTTATTTAGTTTTTAAATGTTTGTTGCAACTATCAAGTTTGGAACGTAATTGAGAATAGAGATTTTGAAATCACTACAAGGAATGACAAAGGAGAAATCATACCCAAACCCACAAAAGAATATGTTGAGGAAGATTGGAAGAAGCTGAAATTCAATGCACAAGCTAAGAAAATTTTTCACTGTGGCCTTAGAACACAATAGTACAACCGGATAATGGGATGTAAAACTACCAAGCAAACATGGTAATGAGATGTAAAACTATCAAGAAAACGTGAGATCTCCTAAAGGTAACTCAGGAAGGAACCAATGAGGTAAAACAATAAAAAATTGATCTCTTAATGCATTAATATGAATTATTTACCATGAAACTAAAGAAGACAATTAGAGATATAAGTATAAACTTCACTAATATTATAAACAAGTTAAGTGTTTTTAGTAGAGAAATCATAGTTGAAGAATAAGTCAGTTTTTTTTAAGAAATCGATATCTAAAGTCATGGTGTTTGATATGCCTCCAGTAGA